AAGTAGCAAAAGCAAGATCATATTTCATTCTAGCATTCAAAGACTTTTCTTTAAGCTTAGCTAATAATTTCTTAAGATCAGATCTATCATTGCAAGCAAGAAAGTCTCTAGCAGTTTCTTTATCCATAACACAACCCTCAGGCAAAACCGGCAATTCATATCTAGGGGGAGAATCTTCATCATCACTTTCTTCAATATTATCAGTTTCAATAATTTCATTCTCTCTATCCCTAGCAAGTTGTTCATCAAGAAATTCACCTAGTGGCACAGTAGTATCAAGCATAGAAGTGGTTTCATCATAAGTATCATGCAAAGAAGAAGTGGCATCATCAATAACATGCGACCTATCAGAATCAATAGCATGTGTAGGTGTCGCAAGTTTACTCAAAACAGAAGGTGAATCAAGTGCAGAGCTAGATGATAATTCCTTACCTCCCTTCGTAGTTGAGGGAAAATCTTGGTTCTTTAATCTTTCAAGTTCTTCATAGTGATAAGCAGATATAAATCCCAAGTGACTCAAAGAATAGAGCTATGCTCCCCGGCAACGGCACCAGAAAATAGTCTTGATAACCCACAAGTATAGGGGATCGCAACAATTTTCGAGGGTAGAGTATTCAACCCAAATTTATTGATTCAACACAAGGGGAGCCAAAGAATATTCTCAAGTATTAGCAGCTAAGTTGTTAATTCAACCACACCTGGAAACTTAATATCTGCAACAAGGTATTTAGTAGCAAAGTAATATGATAATAATGGTAACGGTAGCAAAATTAATATTTTTGGGTTTTATAGTGATTGTAATAGTAGCAACGGAAAAGTAAATAAGCGAAGAACAATATATGAAAAGCTCGTAGGCATTGGATCCGTGATGGAGAATTATGTCGGATGCAATCGATCATTCAACGGTTATAACATAGGGTGGCACAGAACTAGCTCTAGTTCATCAATGTAATGTAGGCATGTATTCCGAATATATTCATACGTGCTTATGGAAAAGAACTTGCATGACATCTTTTGTCCTACCCTCCCGTGGCAGCGGGGTCCTATTGGAAACTAAGGGATATTAAGGCCTCCTTTTAATAGAGTACCGGACCAAAGCATTAACAGATAGTGAATACATGAACTCCTCAAACTACGGTCATCACCGGTAATGGTCTCGATTATTGTCACTTCGGGGTTAACGGATCATAACACATAATAGGTGACTATAGACTTGCAAGATAGGATCAAGAACTCGCATATATTCATGAAAACATAATAGGTTCAGATCTGAAATCATGGCACTCGGGCCCTAGTGACAAGCATTAAGCATAGCAAAGTCATAGCAACATCAATCTCAGAACATAGTGGATACTAGGGATCAAACCCTAACAAAACTAACTCGATTACATGATAAATCTCATCCAACCCATCACCGTCCAGCAAGCCCATGATGGAATTACTCACGCACGACAGTGAGCATCATGAAATTGGTGATGGAGGAAGGTTGATGATGACGATGGCGACGGATCCCCCTCTCCGGAGCTCCGAACGGACTCCAAATTAGCCCTCCCGATAGAGTTTAGGGCTTGGCGGCGACTCCGTATCGTAAAACGCGATGAATCCTTCTCTTCTATTTTTTTTCTCCCCAAACACGAATATATGGAGTTGGAGTTGAGGTCGGTGGAGCGTTAGGGGGCCCACGAGGCAGGGGCACGCCCAGGGGGGTAGGCGCGCCCCTACCCTCATGGACAGGGTGTGGGCCCCCTGCCGTGGATTCTTCTTTCAGTATTTTTTATATATTCCAAAAATAATCTCCGTTGATTTTTAGGTCATTCCAAGAACTTTTATTTCTGCACAACAATAACACCATGGCAATTCTGCTGAAAACATCGTTAGTACGGGTTAGTTACATTCAAATCATGCAAGTTAGAGTCCAAAATAAGGGCAAACGTGTTTGCAAAAGTAGATACGATGGAGACGTATCAGGCGGCAGTGGCGGACGCGTCGGTCTGCGCGGCGAGCGGCGGCTGGAGAAACGAGGGCGATGGGGCGAGGAGAGGGACAGAGTGCGGCTGGCTCCGGTTGGGTTCGACCGGGCCCGGCTACATGGAGCGACCGATACGGGTGCGTGCGGGTAAGCCACTGTGGCACCTGACGCGTGGGCCCGGTAGGTTAGATACGTGGTCAATACACACTTATACGGCTGTCAGACCGTTTTGCAACACTTAGGCTTAGAGTTGGCACTGCATGGCAAAAAAAGTGACTAGTGGTACTGATTCGTCACAACGTGCCGAAGTGTGGTAGTTCCTTGCAATTAACTCCAGTTCATCAGCCGGCAACATCAAAAGCGGCCCATGGCGCGTAGAGGCGCGTAGAAGGAATTTTCTTAAAGACTTTCGCATACTCCATGACTTAGCTATCGTCTGCAACACTTATACATAGCCAAGCTTACTATAACCCTAGGCTCCATGGTAACTATATAAGCCAGGGGGTAGAGGACATCATCGATCTCATGGTAGACCAACCTATACTTTGTACTACTTCCCAAATCAATAAAATACAAACATGACGTAGGGTTTTATCTTCTTAGAGAGCCCGAACCTGGGTAAAATATCTTGTCTCTCTTACCATTACATCTAGGCTACCAGCTGGGGTTCCCTCTACCCAAGATATGCCGGAATCGACTCTGTCTTTGGTGGCCCAAGCAGGTCTCGCCATGTAGTTGCATCAATCCGATGACAATCAAGATTGGCGGTGACATGACCTTTGTGCCAAGCCAAATCTTTGTTTTCGGCAGCGCTGCCTTCCTCGCCGATTCGATTGGCCACCTAGGGCGGGTCAAAACCTCGATCCCATGCCGTATCATTAGATCCGGTGATTTGGAGCACACTGCGGGCTCGCGCAGCCCTCGTAGAAAGGTTGTTTAGCCACACCGAGGTCCAGTATGAGGCACGCGATCCAATGCTGACGTCAAGTCAGGTTTAGGGCGCAGGTGCATGACCATCATCGAATCTGCCACCAGGGCAGTATCCGACGACCCCTCCCCGGACTAAGATAAGTGGCCAGGTCAACAATAAAGAACCAGGATTCGTGTCAGATCGGATCTTGTAGAAACTTCCTCTAGCCCCGACGTCAGATTGGGTCCGAGGAGAACGCGAGGGAAAATTCCAGTGCTCGACATCAGGACTAGCCAAAGAGTCAATAATCCTCAACAATCAGATCTCGCAAGTGGTTGGAGTAAGATGACATCGGCCGAGGTCAGATTTTCAAACCCACCCACCACCCATCTCATTGCTACAATCGAAGGGTCAACCGACGATTTACGCCGACGAGGACAAGCATACATCTGGGATTTATCACTCCTCATTCAAAAGCCGGATGAGACGGTTCGCCAGTTTTGGTCCCGTTTTCTCTCAAAGAAAAACGAGATCCCAAACTAAAGTGATAGAGAAGCCCTCAGAGCATGGTTAATAATATAGCCATCTGTTGGCTATAACACATTGCCATGTCATTTATAATTAATGTAATAGCCAACACGTATAATAATTGGCTATAAGAAAGTACTACTTTGTCAACATAGGATCCATCTTCCACTCTCACAAAGTTTCTTGGAGCTTGTGATACAGCCGGCTGTAAGTCTACATCCGCTTCTCTTCTCTCTCCTTTTCTCTTTTCCGATCAACACCAATATAATATTTAAATCCTTACAGCCTGCTTATGTCACCTTATTATACTTGCTCACAACATTCAAAAGTAAGATAAAAGAAGAGTGGCTCTACAGGGACCTCTTCCTCCGTCACCAGCAGAGAACCGTGGCCGGACTCTCAGAATTGATAGGTACTGCACTATTACCCACAAAAAAAATGCCTGGCTCGCCAAGGAGAAGCACCAGAGCGTCTGCGCGAGTTCAATCGGTTTATAAATTACTATTTCTCGTTTTTGTGACAGAATTCATCAGGTGTATATCCAGAGTTTGAGGGTTGTGCTGAAGTACACTGATGCGTCTGTTGTGAACTTGTGATTGGCAGGGAGCAAAGCAACATCTGCCAAAATTTGCTGATTCTGCTACGGAACTACGGCTATACGTAAGAGAAGCTACTGCTACTCGTGCCCTGTTTCACGCATCTCGTGTACTAGACGACAGCAGGAAGAGAAAGAACGTAGATGCACATTATACTCAAGATTATGGATGATGGGAAAAGACAGAACGTACTCCCTCCGTTCGGAATTACTTGTCGCAAAATTAGATGTATCTAGATGTATTTTAGTTCTAGATACATCCATTCTCGAGACAAGTAATTCCGAACGGAGGGAGTAGCTGCATATTATATGAAGGATGATGCAGTGAATCAGGTTATGATCTGTGTGCTCGGCTTAGGCACAGATGGATGACTTGACAAAGTGTATGTGAATGCTTAAAGCACTCGCCTAATCACTCGTACCAGCTGAAAGTAAAAAGTAGCTGCCGACTAGTACCTCAAGCACCAAGGTTGTATGCCCAAGGTTGTAGCTGCTGTGCTGATCATCCTTGGTTTGAACTGAAATTCCAACACTAGTCGCGGAGCTTTGTACCAGGCGAAATGCCCAACGATGGCTAGTAATCAAGCTTGCTTTAATGTAAAAATCCCCAATTTTCGCTCTCATCCGCAATCCTCTCCCATCAACAATCCCCTTTCTACAAAGGTTGTTGTTTCATAGGCAGTGGTTGCTATATTGAGATAAGATGCTGCAAATAGCAGTACTACAATTAAAAATCTACTCATAAAAGAAAAAGAATGCTACTCCCTCCGTCCCATAATATAAGAGCGTTTTTGACACTAAACTAGACCCATACATAAGACCTTGCATTTGGCAGAAACTATTTTCAAAAGATCGCTGTGATGATTAAGGTGTTTAAACCCGGCAGTGACTTTAAGGTAGCCAGTACAAAGCTTAAATTTTACGGACGATGTTAAGACGCTAAGGAGACAATTGGTTCAGCTGGTGCGTGTCACTTGAGTCATGGCTTTCACTCGCCTTCATTTTGCACTCCTGGGAGCGGGCTTCTTCTTCTTCCTCAGCTGAAAACAAAATGTTGAAACAGAGTTAACGTTAGCTGCCGGCAGCAATGGAATCTGTACTGGGTGGGACGTTGACTGATTTCATAAACTGTTATAGAATTGGAAGATCGATGATTTATCTCAGCAAATGTGGGACACAATATACAACACAAATCTAATTAAAGGACACATAAAAAGTAAAAATAACTAAGCTGTAGAAGCAAGCTTTGTTAGCATTTGAACTGATACAAAATGTTAATTAGCCGACTTGTCACATCAAATCTGAAACAAGCATAGTGAAACTTTATTTTGATCGATGATAAAGGCTGTACATGATTGAAACCAAAGAATATGGACAATATTATGGTGACCAAGGCCAAGAACACGAACCATGACATATAGCACCGTAAGTTCCATCATCATTGTATCTAAAAGTTGATACAGAACTACCTAGCTAACTCAACACCGAATGCAGACTAAAAATAACTCTGGAACAAGCATTAATGATATTGATGATGAAAACAGAATATGTTCGACAATATATGATGACTGTATTATTCACTCATGGTTGACCTTTTGCTTCTTCAAGTGCCCCTTGTTTTTCTTGGCGTCACGGCGCTCCCGCTTCAGACCCTTTATGTCTTTTGTTAAGGTCAATTTTGAAATCTTTCAGTAAAATAAAACATGAAGCGGATTAGCATACCAATAGGTTAAATTTAAACTTCAGAACTATTAATAAAACAATTTAGACACAAACCTTCTGGTCTGGAATGTAGATCATGCCCCGCTTGCCGTCAATTGCATCATTCGTCACATTTTTCACCTGCAAAAATGTTAATGTAGTTGTGAATACATACTGACATACAAGTTCTCAGTGACAAAATTATAGTAAGTATAGTTCTCTGAAACCTAACCATCAGGATAACAATATCTGATGAACAAAAGACAGTTGTTCCATTCGAATTACCTTCTTAGCATGACCAGGAGTCCTCATAGCTGGCTTCTTCTGTAAACTTTTAGCTGGACGATGTAAAAATCCAAGGATTAACCTTTTCAGCTAGGTAAGGATGGTTAAAAGGTACACCTATTTTATAGCCAAACAGATATGCATTTGCATATACTTATAATTGTTTTCCTCAAGCATTAGTTATGGATTTAGACTTCACTGGATTATCTTACCAAACATATAAAAACCAAATTAAAGCCAGCCCTGGATTAGATATATGGATAAAAAATATAGCAAGTAGCACTACTTAAATCAACTTAAGTATTGTGATCAGATGTTAAAGTTCTTTTTTCAATTCATAGTCAACATAACAACAGCAAAGTAATTTAGGTCAAAACCATAAGCAAGACACCCTACAATGCACAAGTTTGTGTCCGAGGGGCTCAAGATGAATGCTACTCCCTCCGTCCCATAATATAAGAACGTTTTTGACACTACACTAGTGTGAAAAACGTTCTTATATTATGGGACGGAGGGAGTAGCTTGCACAAATTTATGCTATGAATGCTTCCATGGCAAGCTCCAAACCACATGAAAGCTCCAGCATCAATGGTATGAAAGAAACTCACAATTAGAATTCTGAATATATCCTATTTCACACGAAAATACAGAGTAAACCAGTGCAAACATGATGTTGTCTCTACATCAACTGTCCAGGTGCAGTTGCGCTGTTCTTTTTTACGCCAGTAGCACCAGTTCTTGCAGGAAGATGATAACACAAACAGTGTACTGAACATGATCTTGACAGGGGGCATAGTCTTCACAAGTTCACAGTATGAGATAGAAAGGTAACTAATGACGCAGACAGCCAAACAGGACTTCCTTTGAACTGCTGTTGAGTAATTTTCAGTTGTGATATACAGTATATGCTCTTTGTGATGCAGTACCACTGCTGATGGAATAAGACTATAGGAGAGGGCTTGGCACAAAAGAAGGGGAAAACAATTAGCAACAGTAAGTTCTCATGTTTCTCTTCCTCTAGTAATTCGTTTTGGAACCAAGTGCAGCTCAGCAAACAGTGGGCGTGAAAGGATTCCGGCACGCCAGGGCGCCGTCGCAACACTAAAAAAAAAAACAAGAAGGCGTGGCGGAGCTCGGCGGTTGCGGTGCGTACGCCAGGGCGGCGTCGAAGCCGAACAACGCGCCGGCGCCGGGGTCTGTGTTGGCAGCCATGGCGGGACGGTGGCGAGAAACGGCTGGCGGGAGGGGAGGGGCGGCAAGAAAATACCTCCGGGGAGAAGGCAGGGCACGCCGGCGTCCTGGAGGTGGCTGCGGCGCAGGAGAATAAACTGCGCGTCCCTCAAGGGCTCAATCGGCACGAAAATCTGGGATCGGGGCGGGCTGGCCCGGGGCAAAACCCGGTCTACCAAATAAAGAGGAAAGTATCGTTTTTCCCCTCAAATCCTGTCTGATGGACCGATTTCCCCCCAAAGTCTAAAACCAGATCAATCAGCCCCTAAACTCTCCAAAACCGGATCAATTTTCCCCATGATGGTTTTGCACCAGATTTAGGTGGTTTTGACTAGTCTCCTTGCTGACTGGACAGTGCTGACTTGGCAGCGCACGCCCCACGCTCACCCGCTGCCGTGCCCCTGCCCCGCGATGTCCGCTCCTTTGGTCGCCCGTGCGCCGGCCATGCCCTGCCTCACCCTCGCCCAATCGAGCTCCCCGCGCGCGCGTAGGCTCCGGACGTGCCCTGCTTCTTGCTGATGCTGCCTTGCCGCCGTCTCTACTCGACTGTTGCGGCCTTCGCTTGCTGCTTCCCTCTGCTGCTGACTCTACATCGCCCGTCCGCCGCTATATGCTCGGCACCGGCGCCCGCCCTGCCGCCGTGCCTGGTGCTCAGCTCCCGCACGCACCCACGCCCGGGCGCCACTCGCGCCTGCCGCCGTGCGCCCGCTCCTGCCGGAGCTCCCCTATCGCCCCCGCACCCCGCTGTCGGCCGCCGCATTTTCGCCCGCGCCCTGGTGCCGCCCGCCTGCGCCCCCGCGAGCCGCGCCCCGTTGATGGCCCCTCAACGCCTGATGTCGCCAAGCTCCCTGCTCGCCGTGGCGGATGCGCCACCGCCGGAGCTTCCCGCCGTGGCCGCCGGCCCTCCTCTGTGAGGCCGCGTGCGTGCCCGGCCTCTGAGACCGGCCTCAGTTTTCGCCAAGTCAGCACTGTCCAGTCAGCAAGGAGACTAGTCAAAACCACCTAAATCTGGTACAAAACCACCATGGGGGAGAATTGATCCGGTTTTGGAGAGTTTAGGGGCTGATTGATCCGGTTTTAGACTTTGGGGGGAAATCGGTCCATCAGACAGGATTTGAGGGGGAAAACGATACTTTCCTCCCAAATAAATTAGTAAGTGGGAAACTTTCGGCCCAGAAAGTATGATCTTTGAAATTTCTGGCCCGCCCCGGCCTGCCAAACCAGGCCTCAGTGGCGTAATTCCATGTTGCACCTAAAAAATACTAAGATCTAAAAACCCTAACAATAATATCTTCTTAGAAACCGTATTTCTTTTTTCATTATGCAAAGATTGATACTACAAGGTTGCCATTTGTATGTTTCGTGACGTCACATTTCTTTTCTCTTGAGGGGAGTTTATCCTGATGTGTCCATACGGTAATTTTGTTCATATGTAATTTAAACTAAAAGCATGACAAATTTTTTAAAGAGGAGGAAATTGTTGGAAATATGCCCTAGAGGCAATAATGAATTGGTTATTATTATATTTCCTTGTTCATGATAATCGTTTATTGTCCATGCTAGAATTGTATTGATAGGAAACTCAGATACATGTGTGGATACATAGACAACACCATGTCCCTAGTAAACCTCTAGTTGACTAGCTCGTTGATCAATAGATGGTTACGGTTTCCTGACCATGGACATTGGATGTCGTTGATAACGGGATCACATCATTAGGAGAATGATGTGATGGACAAGACCCAATCCTAAGCCTAGCACAAGATCATGTAGTTCGTATGCTAAAACTTTTATAATGTCAAGTATCATTTCCTTAGACCATGAGATTGTGCAACTCCCGGATACCGTAGGAATACTTTGGGTGTGCCAAACGTCACAACCTAATTGGGTGGCTATAAAGGTACACTACAGGTATCTCCGAAAGTGTCTGTTGGGTTGGCACGAATCGAGACTGGGATTTGTCACTCCGTGTAAATGGAGAGGTATCTCTGGGCCCACTCGGTAGGACATCATCATAATGTGCACAATGTGGTCAAGGAGTTGATCACGGGATGATGTGTTACGGAACGAGTAAAGAGACTTGCCGGTAACGAGATTGAACAAGGTATCGGGATACCGACGATCGAATCTCGGGCAAGTATCGTACCGATAGACAAAGGGAATTGTATACGGGATTGATTAAGTCCTTGACATCGTGGTTCATCCGATGATATCATCGTGGAACATGTGGGAGCCAACATGGGTATCCAGATCCCGCTGTTGGTTATTGGCCGGAGAGTCGTCTCGGTCATGTCTACGTGTCTCCCAAACCCGTAGGGTCTACACACTTAAGGTTCGGTGACGTTAGGGTTATAGAGATATTAGTATGCGGTAACCCGAAAGTTGTTCGGAGTCCCGGATGAGATCCCGGAAGTCACGAGGAGTTCCGAAATGGTCCGGAGGTAAAGAATTATATATAGGAAGTGCTATTTCGGCTATCGAGACAAGTTTCGGGGTCACAGGTATTGTACCAGGACCACCGGAAGGGTCCCGGGGGTCCACCGGGTGGGGCCACCTGCCCCGGGGGGCCACATGGGCCGTAGGGGGTGCACCTTGGCCTGTATGGGCCAAGGGCACCAGCCCCAAGAGGCCCATGCGCCAAGAGATAAGGGAAAGGAAGAGTCCTAAAGGGGGAAGGCACCTCCGAGGTGCCTTGGGGAGGATGGACTCCTCCCTAGCCGCACCCTTCCTTGGAGGAAGGGCCAAGGCTGCGCCCCCCTCTCCCTTGGCCCTATATATAGTGGGGGGAAGGGAGGATAGCCTCATCGAAGCCCTGGCGCCTCCCTCTCCCTCCCATGACACATCTCCCTCCTCCCGCAGCGCTTGGCGAAGCCCTGTTGGAATCCCGCTACTTCCTCCACCACGCCGTCGTGCTGCTGGATCTCCATCAACCTCTCCTCCCCCCTTGCTGGATCAAGAAGGAGGAGACGTTGCTGCTCCATACGTGTGTTGAACGCGGAGGTGCCGTCCGTTCGGCGCTAGGATCATCGGTGATTTGGATCACGACGAGTACGACTCCATCAACCCCGTTCTCTTGAACGCTTCCGCGCGCGATCTACAAGGGTATGTAGATCCACTCCTCCCTCATTGCTAGATGACTCCATAGATTGATCTTGGCGATACGTAGAAAATTTTGAATTATTGCTACGTCCCCCAACAGTGGCATCATGAGCTAGGTCTATTGCGTAGATTATATGCACGAGTAGAACACAAAGTAGTTGTGGGCGTTGATTTTGTTCAATATGCTTACCGTTACTAGTCCAATCTTGATTCGGCGGCATTGTGGGATGAAGCGGCCCGGACCGACCTTACACGTACTCTTACGTGAGACTGGTTCCACCGACTGACATGCACTAGTTGCATAAAGTGGCTAGCGGGTGTCTGCCTCTCCCACTTTAGTCGGATCGGATTCGATGAAAAGGGTCCTTATGAAGGGAAAATAGCAATTGGCATATCACGTTGTGGTTTTTGCGTAGGTAAGAAACGTTCTTGCTAGAAACCCATAGCAGCCACGTAAAACATGCAAACAACAATTAGAGGACGTCTAACTTGTTTTTGCAGGGTTTGCTATGTGATGTGATATGGCCAAAGGATGTAATGAATGATATATGTGATGTATGAGATGATCATGTTCTTGTAATAGGAATCACGACTTGCATGTCGATGAGTATGACAACCGGCAGGAGCCATAGGAGTTGTCTTAATTTATTTATGACCTGCGTGTCAACATAAACGTCATGTAATTACTTTACTTTATTGCTAACCGTTAGCCAAGGTAGTAGAAGTAATAGTTGGCGAGACAACTTCATGAAGACACGATGACGGAGATCGTGATGATGGAGATCATGGTGTCATGCCGGTGACGATGATGATCATGGAGCCCCGAAGATGGAGATCAAAAGGAGCAAAGTGATCATGGCCATATCATGTCACTATTTTATTGCATGTGATGTTTATCATGTTTATACATCTTATTTGCTTAGAACGACGGTAGTAAATAAGATGATCCCTCATTAAAATTTCAAGAAAGTGTTCCCCCTAACTGTGCACCGTTGCGAAAGTTCGTCGTTTCGAAGCACCACGTGATGATCGGGTGTGATAGATTCTTACGTTCGAATACAACGGGTGTTGACGAGCCTAGCATGTACAGACATGGCCTCGGAACACATGCAAAACACTTAGGTTGACTTGACGAGCCTAGCATGTACAGACATGGCCTCGGAACACAAGAGACCGAAAGGGCGAGCATGAGTCGTATGGTAGATACGATCAACATGAAGATGTTCACCGATGTTGACTAGTCCGTCTCACGTGATGATCGGACACGGCCTAGTTGACTCGGATCATGTAATCACTTAGATGACTAGAGGGATGTCTATCTGAGTGGGAGTTCATAAGATGAACTTAATTATCCTGAACATAGTCAAAAGGTCTTCGCAAATTATGTCGTAGCTCGCGTTTCAGTTCTACTGTTTAGTTATGTTCCTAGAGAAAATTTAGTTGAAAGTTGATAGTAGCAATTATGTGGACTAGGTCCGTAAACTGAGGATTGTCCTCATTGCTTCATAGAAGGCTTATGTCCTTAATGCACCGCTCAGTGTGCTGAACCTCGAACGTTGTCTGTGGATGTTGCGAACATCTGACATACACATTTTGATAACTACGTGATAGTTCAGTTAAACGGTTTAGAGTTGAGGCACCGAAGACGTTTTGAAACGTCGCGAAACATATGAGATGTTTCGAGGGCTGAAATTGGGATTTCAGGCTTGTGCCCACGTCAAGAGGTATAAGACCTCCGACGATTTTCTTAGCCTACAAACTAAGGGAGAAAAGCTCAATTGTTGAGCTTGTGCTCAGATTGTCTGAGTACAACAATCATTTGAATCGAGTGGGAGTTGATCTTCCAGATGAGATAGTGATGTTTCTCCGAAGTCATTACCACCAAGCTGCTAGAGCTTCGTGATGAACTATAATACATCAGGGACATATATGATGATCCTTGAGATATTCGCGATGTTTGACACCACAAAAGTAGAAATCAAGAAGGAGCATCAATTGTTGATGGTTGGTGAAACCACTAGTTCCAAGAAGGGCAATGGCAAGAAGGGATACTTCATGAAACGACAATTCAGCTGCTGCTCTAGTGAAGAAACCCAAGGTTGAACCCAAACCCGAGACTAAGTGCTTCTGTAATAAGGGGAACAGCCACTGGAGCAGAATTACCCTAGATACTTGGTAGATGAGAAGGCTGGCAAGGTCGATAGAAGTATATTGGATATACATTGTGTTGATGTGTACTTTACCAGTACTCCTAGTAGCACCAGGGTATTAGATACCGGTTCGGTTGCTAAGTGTTAGTAACTCGAAATAAAAGCTACGGAATAAACGTAGACTAGCTAAAGGTGAGCTGACGATATGTGTTGGAAGTGTTTCCAATGTTGATATGATCAAGCATCGCACGCTCCCTCTACCATCGAGATTGGTGTTTGCGTTGAGCATAGACATGATTGGATTATGTCTATCACAATACGGTTATTCATTTAAGGAGAATAACGGTTACTCTATTTATTTGAATAATACCTTCAATGGTCTTGCACCTAAAATGAATGGTTCATTGAATCTCGATCATAGTGATACACATGTTCATGCCAAAAGATATAAGATAGTAATGATAGTACCACCTACTTGTGGCACTGCCACTTAAGTCATATCGGTATAAAACGCATGAAGAAGCTCCATGTTGATGGATATTTGGGCTCACTCGTTTTTTGAAAAGTTTGAGACATGTGAACCATGTCTATTGGTGTATATGCATGAAGAATCTCCATGCAAATGTACCGTTTTGACTCACTTGACTTTGAATCACTTGAGACATGCAAATCATACCACATGGGCAAGATGACTGAAAGCCTCATTTTCAGTAAAATGAAACTAGAAAGCAACTTGTTGGAAGTAATACATTTTGATGTGTGCAGTCCAATGAGTGCTGAGGCGTGTAGTGGATATCGTTATGTTCTTACTTCACAGATGATTTGAGTAGATGTTGAGTATATTTACTTGATGAATCACGAGTCTGAATTATTGAAAGGTTCAAGTAATTTCAGGGTGAAGTTGAAAGATCGTCGTGACAAGAGGATAAAAGATCTATGATATGATCATAGAGATGAATATCTAAATTACGAGTTTGGCACACAACTAAGACATTGTGGAAATTGTTTCACGACTAATACCGCCTGGAACACCATAGTGTGATGGTGTGTCCGAACATCATAAATGCACCCTATTGGATATGGTGCATACCATGATGTCTCTTATCGAATTACACTATCGTTTATGGGTTAGGCATTAGAGACAACCGCATTCACTTTAAATAGGGCACCACGTAATTCCGATGAGATGACACCGTATGAACTATGGTTTAGAGAAACCTAAGCTATCATTTCTTAAAAGTTTGGGGCTGCGACGCTTATATGAAAAAGTTTCAGGCTGATAAGCTCGAACCCAAAGCGGATAAATGCATCTTCATAGGACACCCAAAACAGTTGGGTATACCTCCTGTCTCAGATCCGAAAGCAATAAGGGATTGTTTCTTGAATCGGGTCCTTTCTCGAGGAAAAGTTTCTCTCGAAAGAATTGAGTGGGAGGATGGTGGAGACTTGATGAGGTTATTGAACCATCTCTTCAACTAGCGTGTGACAGGGCATAGGGAGTTGTTCCTATGGCACCTACACCAATTGAAGTGGAAGCTTATGATAGTAATCATGAAACTTCAGATCAAGTCACTACCAAACCTCGTGGGATGACAAGGATGCGTACTACTTCAGAGTGGTACGTAATCCTGTCTTGGAAATCATGTCTTGGAATTTTCTCGATTATGGAGGTGGTAAAAGAGTTCGTCGTAAAGGGTTACGCCGATGCAAACTTAGACACTAATCCAGATTATTCTGAGTAGTAAACTGGATTCGTATAGTAGAACAGTTATTTGGAATAGCTCCAAATAGAACGTGGTAGCTGCATCTGGGAAATGACATAGAGATTTGTAAAGCACACACGGATCTGAAAGATTCAGACCCGTTGACTATAACATCTCTCACAAGCATAACATGATCAAACCCAAAACTCATCGAGTGTTAATCACATGGTAATGTGAACTAGATTATTGACTCTAGTAACTCTTTGGGTGTTAGTCACATGGGGATGTGACCTTGAGTGTTAATCACATAGCAATGTGAACTGGATTATTGACTCTAGTGCAAGTGGGAGACTGTTGGAAATATGCCCTAGAGGCAATAATAAATTGGTTATTATTATATTTCCTTGTTCATGATAATCGTTTATTGTCCATGCTAGAATTGTATTGATAGGAAACACAAATACATGTGTGGATACATAGACAACACCATGTCCCTAGTAAACCTCTAGTTGACTAGCTCGTTGATCAATAGATGGTTACGGTTTCCTAACCATGGACATTGGATGTCGTTGATAACGGGATCACATCATTAGGAGAATGATGTGATGGACAAGACCCAATCCTAAGCCTAGCACAAGATCATGTAGTTCGTATGCTAAAGCTTTTATAATGTCAAGTATCATTTTCTTAGACCATGAGATTGTGCAACTTCCGGATACCGTAGGAATACTTTGGGTGTGCCAAACGTCACAACGTAACTGGGTGGCTATAAAGGTACACTACAGGTATCTCCGAAAGTGTCTGTTGGGTTGGCACGAATCGAGACTGGGATTTGTCACTCCGTGTAAATGGAGAGGTATCTCTGGGCCCACTCGGTAGGACATCATCATAATGTGCACAATGTGATCAAGGAGTTGATCACGGGATGATGTGTTACGGAACGAGTAAAGAGACTTGCCGGTAACGAGATTGAACAAGGTATCGGGATATCGACGATCAAATCTCGGGCAAGTATCGTACCGATAGACAAAGGGAATTGTATACGGGATTGATTAAGTCCTTGACATCGTGGTTCATCCGATGAGATCATCGTGGAACATGTGGGAGCCAACATGGGTATCCAGATCCCGCTGTTGGTTATTGGCCGGAGAGTCGTCTCGGTCATGTCTACGTGTCTCCCGAACCCGTAGGGTCTACACACTTAAGGTTCGGTGACGCTAGGGTTATAGAGATATTAGTATGCAGTAACCTGAAAGTTGTTCAGAGTCCCGGATGAGATCCCGGACGTCACGAGGAGTTCCAGAATGGTCCGGAGGTAAAGAATTATATATAGGAAGTGCTATTTCGGCTATCGGGACAAATTTCGGGGTCACCGGTATTGTACCGGGACCACCGAAAGGGTTCCGGGGGTCCACCGGGTGGGGCCACCTGCCCCGAGGGGCCACATGGGCTGTAGGGGGTGCGCCTTGGCCTGTATGGGCCAAGGGCAACAGCCCCAAAAGGCCCATGCGCCAAGAGATAAGGGAAAGGAAGAGTCCTAAAGGGGGAAGGCACCTCCGAGGTGTCTTGGGGAGGATGGACTCCTCCCTAGCCGCACCCTTCCTTGGAGGAAGGGCCAAGGCTGCGCCCCCCCCTCTCCCTTGGCCCTATATATAGTGGGGGGAAGGGAGGACAGCCTCACCGAAGCCCTGGCGCCTCCCTCTCCCTCCCATGACACATCTCCCTTCTCCCGCAGCGCTTGGCGAAGCCCTGTTGGAATCCCGCTACTTCCTCCATCACGCCGTCGTGCTGCTGGATCTCCATCAACCTCTCCCCCCCTTGCTGGATCAAGAAGGAGGAGACGTCGCTGCTCCGTACGTGTGTTGAACGCGGAGGTGCCGTCCGTTCGGCGCTAGGATCATCGGTGATTTGGATCACGACGAGTATGACTCCATCAACCCCGTTCTCTTGAACGCTTCCGCGCGCGATCTACAAGGGTATGTAGATCCACTCCTCCCTCGTTGCTAGATGACTCCATAGATTGATCTTGGCGATACGTAGAAAATTTTAAATTATTGCTACGTCCCCCAACAGAAATACCATTTAGACGTTTGCAGAAATGTTCTCGGGGAATGAGTTTATCCTGTTGTATACATCACACAATTATACCGTGGAGGCACAAGACTCACACTTGCGTCTTTGGAGTAATTGGCTTCGGCCATGTTCCCATCTACGGTGTTGCCTAGCGTCGATTTTACAGCCAATATTATAACCACGCACACAGTTCTATCATTTTGCTTTCATATACTTTGAAATCTTGCATGATTGTTTTGAGTTTGTTGGCAGCCTATTTTCTTTTTTGCAAGAAGGTGCCGATTTATCATAACACACATTGATATTGCATGATTATACTGTAGGAAGCTTCATATTTGTTGTACATTTTTTCTACGAAAAAGATAAAGATCTATCATCAAAGTTCATCAGAAGTACAAAACACTCCGAACATAATGAAAATTACATCAAGCTCTCTGGAGCACCAAGCGATAATTGTCGCCACCAGAACAAGCCGCGGACCTGCCATTTTGAAAACGCGGACAATCTTTGAATTTGTTAATTTTTTTCAAAACAAAAATATTTTTCAATATTCTGATTTTTTTGAAAATATGATCATTTTTTGGAAACTCAAACACTTTTAAAATGGATAAACAAATTTGAAAAATGGGAAATTTTTCTTAATTTCTGATTTTTTTTGAAAAACACAAATATTTTTGGAAAACATGAACAATTTTCGAGTCTATGAACAAATTTTAAAACATAATCATTTTTTAAAATACAGAACAATTTTTGGCAAACAAGAATATTTTTTCAAAGTACCAAAATTTTATTGAATTTATGAACATATTTGAAAAACGGGAACCTTACATGGAATACTCAAATATTTTCGAAAACCCGAACGTTTTAAGATTTATTTTGGAAACAGGAGTGTTTTTTGAAATTTTTGAACAGTTTTTCGAAATGTGTATACTTTTTAAACTTTTGAACAATAAAATTTGAATCCGTGAACATTTTTAAGAAAGTATAAAACAAAAATGATAAAAAAGAAAAGAAAAAACGAAATTAAAAGACAGAATAAAATAATATGTTTGTTACCTTCTGGAAGGTTCCCAAAACCGGTATAAACCGACTGGGGCCTTCCAAAATGTTCCCAAAACCGGATTGGATACTTCTCCACGCAAATGGGCCGGGCCATCCCGAGTTCCCAAAACTGGATTACCTGTGGGAATCCTCGTCAGTTTGTCGTATAATGCGGCGAGTAGGGATTTCCCTCCCCCAGACAAATCTGCTACATATTGTTTCTCTCTCCCATTGTGTTTATGGACTAGTAGCCTGGTAATCTTCTTGGCCCAGAGCATATATATATATAGCCCATGAAGAACAACGGAGAGAGAAAAAAAACTACCAAAACTTATAAAAGGAAATATTTTGCACAAATTTCCACATATAAGATCTGACGGATATACATTACTGATTGAGCTACAATTGTTTCTCGGGGGCTGCTAAATCTTAGTCGACTTAGACTTCGCGAAGTCTCAGTCGATGTCTTGGCCATAGGATGCAGGACCATCAAGATTCGTGTGCATGTGTAGGCTGGCTCGAACTTCTGGCCTTTTTGTCGCTGCGCTGGTAAGAGGGCCGGGTGGTTTTACGAGCCTGTAGAAACAAGAGGACCTTTTTTGTTTAGCTTCTGGGCTTTGTGCTTTTTGCTACTGCAGCCCAGAGATTCCATTGTATCTTTTTGTTGTAATTTGTTTTGTCCCTTTTTTTACCAACACAAGCGAGTTTGCCTGTATGGGAGGGGGTCACGGTGGTTTCCCTTTTGCCCAAGAAATTGTTAGTTTTTGTCTTTTCTTTTTTTCAGCACATTTCTCTTTTTTTTTCACCTTTCATTTCACTTTTTGTATGATTTTGACTTATTTCTTTTGTCTTTGTCCCGTTTTCTCTGGTTTTTTCTTCTAGTCTTATTTTTATTTTTATTTCGTCCATGTTTATTTATTCCTTTTTTCCTTTTATTTGATTTTAGTATTATTTTTTCTAAATTCTAACGGGCCCTTTTTTGCAAAAAAATGCCTACCTAATTTTGTAATATATCATTCCCAGTTGTACATCCATCAGATGCTTTATAAGTAAATGTGGATGTGATAGTTGAAATTTTCTTAACAAGATTTGCTAAAAATGTGTTTGAGTTTAACGAAGTCTCGGCGGACATATGTGATCGTCAGATCAATGTTGTTTGTAAGATTCATGTAGTGCTGCTTGTTTGATGTTACCTCGACAAAGCACCACTAAGTAGTGATACACATGTCGACAACCTAGTTATCTGCTTGTGTGGGGTATCACATGTCTACAGTATAACTAGTTATCTGCTGGTTTGGTGTTACCTCGACAAAGCACCACTAAGTAGGTTGGATTAAGTAGAGATCCGAGGGGGTTCTCTCGGTTCCAGTAGTTTGGACGAAGTAGAGATTATTAGTTTCTTTTTTTCCAGTAGTAAAAAAGTAGTTTGGATCACCAGAGTTTAGGAAGTTTTTATTTATATTCCCCCATTCTAGCAGAGGATATCCCCATGTGTGCCCTTTTGTGTTCTTTTTTGCTATTCTTTTTTCAAGTAGAGAGAATATCCTATATGTCCCTTTTTCCCTATACTGTATATATGGGTGGAATCTATACGAAACTCCAGTAGTATGGATCAAGTAGAGATTTTATTCAAGCATAGTTTTTGACCCCCCCCCCCCTCCCAGTCTTATATTTTGGCTGGGAGGTCTAGTGGTTTCAAGTTAGAAATTATTCTTTGTTTTAAACGTAACAGAATTGATGTTAGTCAATTAAGAGTTTATGTTAGTTTTCAAGTGGCGGTTCCAGTAGTATGCGTGTATATATGTTTTTCTGTCTAGTTTTCGAAATGCTTCTCTTTTAAAAGCAACATAATTTGTTTGTTAGTCAACAGAATTTGTGCATTTTCCATTTTTGTGACTACATCCTGTTAATATATCTACTTATACATTTTTTTGCTAGTAATTGTTTTTTGTATATTCATCTATGATTATATGTTTGCTTTTTTTCATACCCAAGTTAAGAAATCGTTGTTTGCTTGTCTGGTCATAAAATATGTCTATTGCATATCCTAGTTAACTTATCCCCATTGACTAGGCATGCAACTGCAAGTGTCGCCCTCGACTGAAACCGACCTTTGTTTTGTCGGAGGGCGACGAGAGAGGTGGGCCAATTGCATGTTTAACACTAGGCATGCAACTGCAATTGTCGCCCTCGATTGCAAGTGCATGTCTACCCCCAATGACTTATAACTGACCCTTGTTTTGTTGGTGGGCAGCAGGAGAGGGGGATAATTGCATGTCTGAGACTAGGCATGCAACTGCAAGTGTCACCCTTGACTGCAACAACATGTCTACCCACCTGACTGCTACTAATTTTTTTGTTGCGTCGGAGGACGGCGGGAGAGAAGAGGGCGCTGTTGCATGTGTGACTCTAGGAACACAACTGCAAGCATCGCTCCCGAATGCAATTGCATCTCTACCCATATGACTGCAACTAACCTTTTCCGTCAGAGGGTGGCCGGAGAGGGGTGGTAGTTGCATGTCTGACATTAGGCATGCAATTGCAAGTGTCGCCCTTGACTGCAACCGCATGTCTACCAACCTGACTGAACTAACCTTTGTTTTGTCAGTGGGCAGGGGAGAGGGGGCCCGTTGCATGCCTGACAGTAGGCATGCAACTGCAAGTGTTGCGCTCGATTGCAACTGACCTTTGTATTGTCGGAGGGCGACGTGAGAGGATGGTGATGGTGGGGGGGGGGAGGTAATTGCATGTCTTACACTAGGCATGCAACTACAAGTGTCGCCCTTAGCTGCAACTACCTGTTGACCCACTACAACTGACTTTTTGTTTTGTCGGTGGGAGGCGGTTGCATGTATGACACTAGGCACGCAATTGCAAGTGTCGCGCCCGACTGCAACTGGCCTTTGTTTTGTCCGAGGGTGGTGGGAGAAGGGGAAGGCAGTTGCATGTATGACACTAGGCACGCAATTGCAAGAGTCACCCCTGATTGCAATTGCATGTGCACCCACCCGGCTGCAACTGACATTTGTTTCGTTGGAGGCGGTGACAGAGAGAGGGAAAGTTGCATGTTTGACTAGGCATGTAACTACAAGTGTTACCTCAACTGCAATTGCATGTCCACCCTCTCAACTGAAACTGGCATTTTGTTATGTCGCATGATGGCGGGAGAGGGATGGGGTAGATGCATGTCTAACACTAGGCACACAACTGCAATTGCATGTCCACCTATTCGACCGCAACCGGTCTTTTTTTTAAAGTGTGGCGAGAGAGGGGGGATAGTTGCATGTCTAACACTAGGCACGCAATTGCAAGCGTCATCCCCAATTGCAATTACATGTGCCCCCACCCGACTGCAACTAACATTCGTTTTGTTAGAGGGCGACGGAGGGAGAGGGGGAGTTGTATATTTGACACTAGGCATGCAACTGCAGCTGTCGTCGTTGACTGCAGATGCATGTCCACCTTCCCGACCACAACTGACCTTTTGTTATGTCGAAGGATGGCGGGAGAGGGAGGGGCAGTTCCATGTCTGACACTAGGCACACAATGTGTAGTGTCACCACTGACTGCAATTGCATGTCTAGTTATCAGACTGCAACTGACCTTTGTTTTGTCGAAGGGCGGCGGCGGGAGAGGGGCGCAACTGCATGTCCTTTTTTACCAAGAGTGTGGAGGGACCATTTTCATTGTTTTTTTATTATATTACAGAAAAAACATAGTATCTTCTTTTTTTCATTTCCTTTTTTTGTTTTGTTACTTAAATCAGTTATAAAGTCTAGCTTTTTTGTGTGTGTCTAAATTGTCGATGAAACTAATGAAGTAGCCAAAGTTTTTTGTCTATTTTTGTTGTCCAGTCCCCTTGTTTACATCCAAGACTTAGAATATTTTGTTATCAAACTTCTTTTATCAGCTGGATAGTATATTTTCAAACACTATAGGAATTCAATTTTTGTATATTTTAAACTCTATAGAAACAGGTTGACTGAGGTTTTGATTGATTGCTAAGTCATTTTTTTCTTGCAAATTTGTTCAGGCATCATAAATAGTAGCTGCTGGTCATTTGTTCCAATTATATATTTTTTGTTCAGCTTTTGATTTTTGAAATGTGCATCTGTCCAGTATCAGAGTAGTGTTGCTAGCAAATTGTGTCCAGGGCATGATATGTTGAATTACTATCAGTTATAATCAGTAGTAGTAATTGTCTTTTGTCAAAGAACATAGCAGCTGTTTTTTTTTCTTTTTTGTTGTTTATAAACACTTGTTTATAGCTGCTGGGAATTAGCATAATCATAAAAAAATTATAAATCTAACGACATTTTCCAGCGAACCAGCACACATATGCATAGTTGATGTTTTTTTCTTATTTTTTCCCCAAGCGTGCCAAACAAGCACACACAAACACACACACACACACACACACACACACACACACACACACACAACGAGCTGACAGCTGAGTGCTTCTTGGTACAGAGACTAATTAAGTACTTAAACCTGTTCCTTTTCTGTTGAGTACCTTTTTGCTGCGTCAAAGAAAACAAATGAACAAGCTAGTCCAAATACACAAACACAGTAAGAAGCCCGGCCCAAAATAGCAAGGAAACAAACAGAAAAACAAAAAAGGCCCAGAACCTAAGCCAGATGCAGTCCAGCAGAGAGCAACCTAGGAAACAGGCCTAATCTTCCTTAGTTGTCTCAGTCGCCGACTGAGACTTCACGAAGTCTCAGTCGACTGAGTCTTAGACAGACCCTTGTTTCTCAGAAATACCAAATCCGATATAGAATCCCTGCAAAAATGCTTTGTTTTCATGAAGTTAAAAATCTTTGACGATACGCTAATTGAATAAAAAGCTCTCCTCCAATTGATTGAGCTACAATTTGTTTCTCAGAAATACCAAACCCGACGCAAAGATGCTTCGTTTTCAAGAAGTTAAAAATCTTTGAGGATACGCTAATTGAATGAATGGAATACTCTCCTCCAATCGGCATGTAGTCAGCGCGCGATCCCTCTGGCTGTCTGCTTGCCTATAAATACATGGCGAGAGACTCTCCTTCCTCTCACGTACGCAAAGTAACCGTGTATTGTTCAGCGTGAGCATGGCTTCTTCTTCCTTCGTCGCTTTCGTGGCTCTAGCCAGCAGCTGCCTCCTCATCCTCCATTCGCGCAGCGTCTCCGGCTGGTCTGACGGCGGCGCGACGTGGTACGGTCCCCGCCACGGCGCCGGCTCTGACGGTAGGTACATACAATAGTACATAGTAGTTGTTGTTTACGTGTACGTATTTCGTAGTGATCGAGTACTGACGCGTGCGTGGGCGTGCTGCAGGTGGTGCGTGCGGATACCAAGGCGACGTGGAGAAGCCGCCGTTCTCCGCCATGATCACGGCGGGTGGCCCCTCCATATTCAATGGCGGCAAGGGCTGCGGCGCTTGCTATCAGGTTAGATGCATCGGCAATTCCGCTTGCTCTGGGTCCCCGGCGACCGTGGTCGTCACAGACCAGTGCCCCGGCGGGCCGTGCCAGGCTGAGGCTGCGCACTTCGACCTCAGCGGGAAAGCGTTCGGCGCCATGGCCAAGCCCGGACAGGATGACAACCTCCGCAACGTCGGCAAGCTTAGAATCCAGTACAACCGGTAAGCTCTCGCTAGCGCACACACTTATGGCAGTGCTCCGCCTACGTGCATGTTCGATCGTGTGATCCTCATCTCTTTGATTTCTTCGCTCGCTTGCAGGGTTCCGTGCAACTGGCATGGGCTCGACATCGCCTTCAAGGTGGACGCCGGCTCCAACCCCAACTACCTTGCGGTGCTCATTGAGGACGAGGCCGGCGACGGAGACCTGTCTGCGGTCGAGCTTCAGCAGCGCGGCGGCAGCTGGGCGCCGATGCAGGAGTCGTGGGGCGCGGTCTGGAAGTACAACGCCGGGTCCACTCTGCAGGCACCCATATCGTTCCGCCTCACCTCCGGCTCCGGCAAGAAGCTCGTTGCCAGGAATGTCATCCCCGCCGGCTGGCAGGCCGGCAAGACCTACCGATCCATCGTAAACTTCCAGTGACTGATCCGTCCGTGGGATCAATTGAGTGCGCATGTTAAATTAGTTGTGCAGCACGAGTGCGCTAGCTATATGTAGTAATCGAGCCCGTGCCCGGAATAATACTTGCTGTCATGCTTTGAAAAATTGCAAACATAGTGTGGAAAAAAAATGCTTTCTTCGTATATTTTGGCAGCTGATCTGCTCTTTATCTGCTTAATAATTTTGTACTATAAGGATACGATGGATATTGCTAAACGCTCACGATTGATGCCAACTGATCTTTCCACTGGCAAAAAAATCTATGGCGTGCGATGGCTCTGGACTGGCCGATCCCGGACGTCGACAATATCTGTAACACTGGTCCAGAATGGCTTTTTAGTTTGCTGGAGCCACTCCCTGATACTGTCCGCATGATCGTCTTAATGACCATGTGGCGGACTTGGTACATACGGAATGAGCTCACGCATGGGAAACAAGCACCACCAACACAAGCCTCACGTCATTTCCTCCATGGCTACATAAGCTCCTTGTTGTGTATTCAGCAGCACCCGTTGGGGAACATGGACAAAGGGAAAATGGTGTTGCACTTACCGGCCACCAAATTTGAGGCTGCTACAGCTAGAGACAAGCAGGACCGTGAGGAGCTGCGTTGGTCTCGGCCGCCTGAAGGCTGGGCCAAGCTGAATACGGATGGAAGTTTCGTACAGGCGACGGGTGCAGCCGGGGGCGGCATGGTCCTGCGGGATGATACCGGCACCATTATCTACACAGCCTGCAGGGAAATACGTACATGTGATAACGCCCTGGAGGCGGAACTATTGGCATGTAAAGAGGGCGTCGAGCTCGCGATGCACAGGACCTTGCTTCCCCTTGTTGTCGAGATGGACTGTGCGGAGGCGGTAATGATGATTAAGAGTCCCACGCGGGATCGATCAATGTTCACGGCACTGGTGCAAGAGATTCAAGTGTTGATTGCTGATAGTACGAGGGAGATAGTTTTTACTCATATTAGCCGATCGCAGAACAAGGTCGCTCATTGCCTTGCTGTGTATGGTAGATGCACACCTCGCACCACCGTGTGGTTTGGGTTGGGGACTAGTGAAGTTGTTAGCATTTGTATGGCAGATTCTCCACCTTAATAAGTAATAAAGTCCCCTTTTCCCTCGCAAAAAAAAAAAAGATGCCAACTGATCTTTCGAGTATTAAATTTATGTTGAAAATCTTGACTACTACTACAAAAAAAAAGCCACTAACATAATATATTTAGGATTTCAAGAATGGTCTCTGAATAAATTTTCAGAGAACATAAGAAGAAAAGGTGACTTGCACAAAATAAAATTCATGCAACTTACAAATAGCAAAAGTGGAAAAATAGTATCAAATCTGTAGAGCACTTCCTTATATTTATTCATGGATTTTGTTTTCCTTGGTGGCCGATTTGCTTTAGATTATGGCCTGAAGTTACTTGATTTTTCATGATGGTCCTAATTAAATCTATTGAGTTTATGATTGCCCAAAGTTACTTCACTGATCTAGTGTTTCATAGACATGGATCGACCTAAAATTTGGTATGTCTTTGTTTCATAACCATATAACGGAAACTAGACGCGCCAAAATCAAACTATCATTGATCTATATTACTAACATAGCATATCATTAAATGAAGAAATAATGATATCATGATAGTGTATAAATATTATATCATGATACTAAATATTATATCATAATTGGAAATAATGAATAAATGAGGTGCTGCTATGAGACATACAAAACAATCAATGAGGTCATCTAAAGGACAAATCAGTCGTAACATGCACTATGAAGGTACTATCATACACTAGTATCAAATCCATAATACTCTCTAGAGGTATAAGGCATAAACTATCTTAATTTTAATCACTATAATTATTTAGGAGCATGCGAACATTAATTTCTAGAGATAAAGATAATACATTGTACAACATGTTTTTTGCTTTCTCTAATTGATGTGGAAGGCATAAGAAAATAGCTTCTGATCAACCATTGTGCATGCCCTTACTCATATGACTTCATCTTGAACATATATAGCAAAATGATACCTACATATCACATCGTTATGTCTTGAAGGTACATGACTATAACCATCAGTAGGGCCTATCCTACGTTGTACAACAATTTGTGATTTGTGTATATATTGTTTTGATGACTTTAGTGTCTGGTCAATGAATTGTTTTTCTGTTTTGGGGTAAAAAATGTCATACTGTATGGGGGTGATAGTCAATTATGCACACATGCAAGCAAAATTAACCAAAGGACAATGATAACCATATTAAAATGTCTACTCATTGAAAAGGCTACCTACCAAATCTGGGAAAATGTAATGTAATAAAATAGCAAACTTAATAAGGGGGTGATCTACCAAAATATTATGTCTTTATTAATCAGACAACAAATAAAGAATCGCAATATGGAAGCGGTCGCAGGACCAGCTATGAGTGGGGCCACAGTCAGTGGGCTCCATGAGGCTTGCCGGAGCTACCCGCATGGCTAGAGATGTCACCGTTGGCGGGAATAGTGGTTAGGGAAGGAAGCTTCCTCCCACTGAAGTAGGAAATAGCTGATAGCGCTTGTTAATTTTTGTTACTTCAGGTGTTAATTCTTTGTACTGCCATGACAGTAAATGAATAAATCGGAGTATTAAGCATCCACTACAGATGCTCTTACCTAGGGGTTCCTCGTCTAAAATAGAAGGTTGGAGGTTCTGAAAATTAAGGAATGCAATTTCTTTGAAAAATCTTTGAAAACGGTGAAACAAATTTTGCGGATACACTCATTAAATAAAAAATATCCCCTCACCACGACATTTAATCAGTGTGTGATCTCTCTGGCTCTCTGCTGCCTATAAATACATGTCAAGAGACTACACTTGCTATCACACACATCACTTACCTATCTCAGGTTCCTTCCCTTCTTCCTCTACATACGCGGAGCAACCGTATATTGTTCACCACGAGCATGGTTTCTTCCTCCTTTGTGGCTCTAGCTAGCAGTTGCCTCATCATCCTCCATTCGATCCATTGATCGATTGTCATCTCTTTGATTTCTTCGCTCGCAGGGTTCCGTGCAACTGGCATGGGCTGGAGATCACCTTTAGGGTGGACGGCGGCTCCAACCTGAACTACCTTGCGCTGCTCATTGAGGACGAGGCTGGTGACCGTGATCGGTCAACGGTGGAGCTTCAGCAGCGCGGCGGCAGCCGGGCGCCGATGCAAGATTCGTGGGGTATGGTGTGGAAGTACAACTCCGGGTCCACCCTGTAGGCACCCATATAGATCCGCCTCACCTCCGGCTCCGGCAAGAAGCTCCTCGCCAGCAATGTCATCCATTCTGGCTGGCAGGCTGGCAGGACCTACCGATCCATTGCAAACTTCCAGTGATTGAGTGATCATTCCATCAGTCGAATCTAGTACCTATGTTAATTAATTATTAGCCACGTGCATGTCTGTAATCGACATTGATAATTCAAAATGGAAATTGATGTGGCAGATCTGACCATATGATAAATATTGCTAAACCCACAAGATTACTGCCAACTGAGTTGTTTGTCAGTCTTTCTAGTTTAAACTTATATTGAAAATCATGACGCGTATAAAAAACTCAGTTGCTTAATTTAGGATTTCAAAGAATGGTCCAAGTAATTAATTAATATACACTGAAAAATAGTGCCAGGTCTTGAAACAGAGTGCGCCCTTAAATTCACGCATGGATTTTAATTTGTTTTCCATGGTAGCTGATTTTTTTGTAGATTATGGCCTAAAGTTACTTGATTTCCCATGATGTTCATGAGTCTACGATTGTTCAAAGTTCCTTATTTGTCTTAGTGTTTCTTACACATTGATCAACCCTAAAATTTGGTAATTGCTTATGCTTTGTTTCATAACAGGACAGTGGGAACTAGGCGTGCCGAAAACAAACTAGTGTTGTTCTATATACAAAGTATAGATACATATGACTTTGTTGCAAGAGAGATAAATGAAAAGGTGGTTTGTATTCTCTTAGCTAAGAGATGATATCAAGATGTCATCTCTCAGTCGTACGATTTCAGGAGTGCGCAAATAATGGCTAGAGATAAAAATAATCCCTTGTATAACATGCCTTCTGACTTGTCTAGATGATGTGGAGCACATAAGTAAATACAATCTTATCAACCATTATGCATGCCCTTGCATATGACTTCGTCAGTATATCTTGAAACATATAGCCATAAGATAGATACATATGACTTCGTCAATATATCTTGAAGGTACAAAATTACAACCATCAGTAAGGCCTATGTTATGTTGTACTCCCTCCGTTTTATTTGCATTGCATATTAGCTTTGTCTCAGGTCAAACTTTGTAAATTTTGACCCATTTCGTAGAAGAAATAATTGACATCTACATTACCAAATCAAAAACAAATACTATTAAATTCATCACTGAATATATTTTCATAACATATATATGACTATTATAAATGTTCTTATTGTTTTCTATAAACTTGATCAAACGTTATAAAGTTTGATGTAGGACATAGCTAATATGGAGATTAAATAAAATGAGAGTACACACTATTTCTGGAGACCAAGATATATACATATACAACCAAAAGATATATACATTTGACTTCGTCAATGTATCTTGAGGATGGGTGGCTCCTGGATCATTCTGTGTTTTGGGAATGTGTCTATGTTGTACTCAGTGTTTTATAGAAAGAAGATGGTGGAAACATATAGAGCCAAAACATAAATGTCATTGATGATTTATACAATCAAACGATAGATACATACGTCTTCATCAATATAGTTCGAAGCAATGCCACTCCAGTATAGTACGGGTTGTGTGAGTGTGTGCATGTGTATGTATTTGCGTGTAATACTCTTCGGTTTTACAAAGAAGAAGATAGGCATACATATAGGGCTAAAGAAAAAACCTGGTGAAATTTTGGTTTAAGATGATAAATATATTGGCCTTTCTATTACCCAAGGGCACATGGAAAGGAGGGAAACTCCAGTTCGTTGAAAATTAGTTCCATTGACACCTCTTGTTGGAGAAATGCCTTCCACCCGGTAGGAACACACGAGCCTTTTTGATTCACAAGTAATAAATTACTGGCTAAATACCCGTGTATTGCTATGAGACGGAACAATATTTAAAAATAGTGACCCGTGACCTATTGTCCTCGGCGTCACCGTTGTCCTTGAAGGCGCAGTCGAAGCCCTCGACCGTCGGCGCTTGGCCGTCCTCGAGCGAGCGACTGTCGACCTTGCCCACGAACGGTTCGGCTATTTTGATCAAACTATGTATTTGGTGGCTATTTTGATTAATACCATGGCTATATGGATCATTTTGATATAGAGGCCGAGGTAATCCTCCTTTGAAAAAAAAACACCTATGGGTTGTTTACAAACTTTTCACGTAATCTTTCAACTAATTCTCGTTCCCTTGGATTTCACCAGATGGGCTCCGCTGAATCCAATCATTGGCTGGCACATCACCTCTCAGTCTTAGGGCATCTCCAAGGAAGACATGTAAAACATTGGTCCGGACATATTTGTTCACTTTTGCAATCTAATGAGGACATGTATCAATCCGCGAAGCTGTTCGGACGTCCAAAATCCGGTATTTTGAAGACAAAAGTGGGGAGGCTTTGCCAGAGTCTGAACATGCAATTGACCAATCACATAAGTGGTCCCTCTCTTCTCTCTCTTCTCCCATCTGCACATGCATGGTCCCCCTCTTCTCACTCTCCTCCCAATCCATAAATATTCCACCACATGCATGGTCACCACCTACCTTTTCTCTTCTCAGCTGGTTATTTTGCAATTAGTGTTGTATTGCTTCCTCCTGTACCATGTTTGCGGACCACGTCCGGACATAAAAACGGACATATACCGGAGAAATTTACAGATCGGCATTGGAGATGCTCTTAAGTCTACACTATACAGTAGGTGGAGGTACACTGAAAAAAATACAGTAGGTGGAGGTGGAGGGGAGGGATTGTTGGCAGCGGGTCAAAATGGTCACATATATGTCAACCAACTATAGGATAGAACATTCGACCTGAAACGAAATGAAAATCTGTTACACTCACTCATTAAGCAAAAAAGAATCCCTTCAAATCTGTATTTAACCGTCAGCCTGCGATATCTCTAGCTCTATGCTCATATGATACTTATGATCGGCCTAATGGATAGAGATAGTCCCAAAATCTTTACTAATATACTCATTAAATAAGAAAACATATCCCCTCGAATCCATATTTAATCAGCATGCGATATCTCTAGCTCTCTGCAGCCTATAAATCAAAGTACATGGCAAAAGACTACGCTTGCTATCACACACACCACCGGATCTGCCTCCAGTTCGTTCCCTCTTCTTTCTCTACGGACTGGCCTGCGCGGAACAAGCATGGCTTCTTCTTCCTTCGCCGCTTTAGCGGCTCTAGCCATGAGCTGCCTCCTCATCCTCCTTCCGTGCAGCGTCTCCGGTTGGTCTCATGGCGGCGCGACATGGTACGTTCCCCCCGAAGGTGCAGGCACTGACGGTACGTAAGTGCACACACATACAATATTTATAGTCATATATTTTCTTCATCCGAAAAAGTTTGTCTCCTAAATGGATGTATCTAACACTGGCCATTTGAGAGACAAGCTTTTTCGGCTGAAGAGAGTATATGGATTTGATGCATGCTAGGACGTGTATATAGTTGTTTATTTGTACTGGCGCGTGCATCGGTGCATGGGCGTCCTGCAGGTGGTGCATGCGGGTACCAGCGCGACGTGGAGAAGCCGCCGTTCTCCGCCATGATCACGGCGGGCAGCCCCTCCATCTTCAAGAACGGCAAGGGCTGCGGCGGTTGCTACCAGGTGAGATGCACCGGCAATGCCGCTTGCTCCGGGTTTCCGGTGACCGTGGTCGTCACAGACGAGTGTCGTGGCGGGCCGTGCCTGGCCGAGGCTGCCCACTTCGACCTCAGCGGGAAGGCGTTCGGCGCCATGGCGAAGCCCGGCCAGGCCGACAACCTCCGCAAAGCCGGCAGCATTAGAGTCCATTACAACCGGTAAGCTCTTGCTAGCTAGCTAGCGCACACAGCTCTCACGCCCAGTGCTCCGTGCATGTTCCATCGATCAACTGTCGTCTACTCCTATGTCAAAAAAGTTGATACATGAGTATCTGAACAAATCTAAGACAAACTTTTTGAGACGAAGGTAATATTCGATTTCTTCTCTCGCAGGGTTCCGTGCAACTGGCACGGGATGGACATCGTTTTCAAGGTGGACGCAGGCTCCAACCCGAACTACCTCGTAGTGCTCATAGAGTACGAGGCTGGCGATGGAGACCTGTCGGCGGTCGAGCTTCAACAGCGCGGCGGCGGATGGGCATCGATGCAGGAGTTGTCGGGTGCGGTGTGGAAGTACAACTCCAGGTCCACCCTGCAGGCGCCCATATCGATCCGCCTCACCTCCGGCTCCGGCAAGCAGCTCATCGCCAGCAATGTCATTCCCTCCGGATGGCACGCCGGAAGGACCTACCGGTCCATCGTAAACTACTAGTGATCGAGCGATTCATCGGTTTGTCGAGTACCAATGGGCACATGTGTGGCCTTGTGTAATCGACATTGATAATTCGATACGGAAATAGTAGATGTTTCCATCATGCTTGAAAATTTTCAAATAATGTGGAAAAAATTGCTTTCTTGGAATATTTTGGTAGATGTGTTGTATGTCTGTCTAGGGCGTGGCTATACCTCAATCAGCTGGAAAAAACTTTGGGGTCAGTCGATTTTTTCAACCGCCGGAAAATCAATGGCCCACACCTTTTCTTCAACCTCCAAGCACCTTCCTTCCACCACCAACTACCACCGGCCTAACCTCCCCCCCCCCCTGAACAGCCCCCACCGCCGGTCTTGCCCCCGCCCCCGGCCATCCCTCTAGCCCCGCG